ATTATACAGTATACTCTATTATACAGTACTGTCTTTACATTTATTGCATTGAGCATTGTGTATTTAAAATTATAGCACCATTTTTGAGGGAAACTTTGGGAAATGGACAGAAAATTTTAGCACCTTTGGATTAGTTTTCAAACAGAATAATTTAATTATATTGGCAAATATTGTCAGTATAACTACAGGTATGACTTTCAGGCATGTCAAGTTGTTCATTATGTCCAACAACATGTAATTAGATAATGTAACAGAATACTGCATATCACCAGTAACATAAAAAAACACAAAGTTGTCATACTTTTCCGTACAAATGACAAAAAAGTGCAGCTGAGATGACCACATGAAATAAAACTGTTTTTTTGAAAAGAGGAAGAGATCATGGTCCTTTACAGAATTTGTGAGTGAACGAGGCTACACTAAACATAAATAGAAGCTCACTAAATGACGTCTGTAATAAAAATTATTGAAAATTTTCTAATAATCCTAGCTTTGTTAACCTTCACTTTTAAACTACTGACTTTTGACTTTGACTACCTGGTTTTCTGAAATCAGATAACTACACTAACACAAACATTTTAAGGTAAAACCCAGTGTATAAATAATATTTTTGTGAATTTTAACGTACTGTATGTATATACAGGAAGTAGATCTGCTAAAGGCACCGTGATGAGATTTGGAAAACTTCACTCAGATGCAGATATACCTGACAGGAAATGTGTTCAATTTTACTTTTGGATTTTTAGTAAAATATTTTTCAGTAAAACTCAACAGTGGCAACTATTAGACACAAAATGAGATTTTGTAAAGTTTGGGCTACAGACATTTGTTTCAGTATATCATAATTTTATATGCTCAATGTCCCTAAAATTCTACAAACAAGACTTTTCTTAAATTTTCCAACACAACTAGATTTAAACCAAACAAACAGAAAACGTTTAGTCTTAAAGGAATAGTTCTTCCATTCTGAAGTGGGGTTCTGTGCAAATATTACAAAAATATTTTGTTTGCTGTAGATAAACTCTTTAATGTTTGAAGGACTCAGTTTGTAGAGCTGATGCCTCTCAGCAAGAAGGTTGCTGGTTCAAATCCCAGCCTGGGGACCTTTCTGGATAGAGTTTGCAAGTTCTCTCCATGCATGTGTGGGTTTCTGTTGTATTGTGTGACGGTACTACTGATTTTTTTAATGAAATTTACAGATTTAATGAAAGTTTAATTAAAAAAGAACATATAATAAAGGGAAGAAATTCTCAGCACTTAAGCCTAAAATTCTACTCTAAGTTTAATAAATATGGGTCTTGAGCCTGTATTTATCAAACATCTTAGAAGTACTCTTAAGAATGCTATTAAAAATTGATCCAAGTGTAAAAACAATTCTTAGCTAGAAGTTGGATTAAAATTAAATTATCAAGCATCTCAGTCTCAGTTTAAGTGAAAGTGTAGGATTAAATCTTAAGTGTGAGTCTTAATTCTGATTTGCAACACTTTGCTGTGCCGCCAAGCTGATCCTAGATGACATCATTACAAAACCTCCATCATGGACCAATCACTGCATCGGATTTTATGTTCAAGGATTCTGAGAAATTTCAAGATACAATGGTGAAAATCCTAAAATAAGCTCACATTCAGCACACCAATGTTCATACATGTGCTACTGGTTTTCAGTAAATTACAGAAAATTTCCTCATTTGATTCATGAATACAGACATTTAAAGTTAGGTGGAATAAAGTTATGTTTTTTATGTCTCAGAGCCTGAGGTAATGCTGAGCTTGCACCATCCTCTTCTCCACTAAACTGCCCGCAGACAACTCCCTGTTTACACGTACACTGCTCCGTCCTGATTTACTTGGTCCAGACCTCTGGAACTGTCTTAAATATTTGGGAGAGTAAGAGTGATTCTTAGTCCTAAGACATTTAATAACTAGCTTTTACACTTAAATAGGAGTAGAAATTAAATTAAAGAAATTTTCAGCACTGGAGTTTAAAATTCCAGGGGATTCTGACGTTATCAGTCCCATACAATGGCTTCAGAGGGTCCCTACTGTGCCTTCTAGGCTTCAGACTGTCCCGACAGTGCCCCCTAGTGGGTTAATATATCAATGACAATGAATGTGTAAATAACCAAAAGATATTGTAATAAATATTTTGTGTCCGTGTCGGTCGTGAACCCTGGTCTCCTGCTCTACCCATTGCCCCATTGGAAGCCCACAATATACAACCATTAGAGGGCGGGGTCTTTAGTGCTAACCATGTCATTTGCTCTAAAGTTAACCTTAGTGGCTTTAAGCCTCATATTAACAGTTTTTTAATGCCTCATGTTAACCAGATAGTGGTTTTATGCCTCATACTAACCAGCTGACTCTGCTAACCGGCACAGGCGGGACATCCTGAAGCCATTCTAGGGGACTAATAACGCCTAATAACATCCATTTCATGGATGATAACATCCGAAGCAGGTGAAAATTCTAAGAGGTTCGATAAATACAGATCCTGGTCTTTAAGTACAATTGGGTTTTAGGTCCACACAAGATTTTTTTTATTATTATAAGAATGGAAATCATAATATTACGAGAAAAGAGTCATAATCTTACATGGCATGTCCATTTTCCATTCCTGGTCCCCCCAGATTTCCTTATCCTTTTCCTCAAACCTGCTGTGGACAGCCATGCATGTCACTGTGTTTCTGAAGTAGTCCGTGACGACTTTTTGGTCACTTTTAGAGTAATATTAGTCTGGCCCTTTCTGTCCTACGCAGTTCTAGTTACCCTTCACTGCTCCATCTGGGATTTCTTCCATAGACAAGGAGAACAGTTGATAAGGCTTCAAATTAAAATAAATGTGTCTGACAAAGCAGCAGCTCTCATTTACAGTCGTCTCGTTCAGCTCGGTGTATTTCTCCTCTCAGTAGGGTTGTTTACAGCACACACGATTGCCAGTTAGCTTCTTAGCTTAGCCTCCTTCACAGTGAAGCTGACACACAAACGTCACGCTCAACCGATCCAATCATTTTAAACTTCAGCAGAGGCCACGCCTCCTGCAAGAATCACTTCTCTATGGCCAAGAGTCCAGACCCTCGTATGAGGCAAAGTGAAGGACAGGGGTCTGGTTTTCACCAGGCTAGGGTAATGTGTTTCCATCCAAATTATGTGATGACCAAATCTGTCAGTGCAGCCATTAGTTGCAATATGGCTTCAGTTTATGACATAATCATTTGCACAATTGTTTCAAAGTCCAGCTACTGATTATTTAATGCTGATGTGCATTAGATTTATTTAGTATTTCATTTAACAGATACCAACGTACAACCTCACAAGATGCTCAACATTTCTCATTTTAACGCATTGGTAAGACTAAGAATTTCTTGTAATATTACGACTTTATTCTTGTCAAATTATGACTTAATTGTAATATTAGAACTTTCTTTTCACAATAAAGATTTTATTCTCGTAATATTACTATTTCATTCTCCTAGTAATATTATGACATTATTCTTGTAGTGTGGTCCTAATACTCTGTTGTAATTAGGTAAGAAAACTACTCAGTATTTTCTAACTAGAAGCAGACAGGAAGTGACACATTTAGAGTACGAGGTGTGAATCTAGCAGCTTTGTGAAAAAATTAAATAAATGCTATTACTTCACAACTCCTAAAAACTTTTACTTTACAGGTTTTTTTGTATAGCTTTCTGAATAAAAGACCATAATAATAATAA